GTAAGGGCTGTACTTCAATGGCTAGAAAACAAAAATTTTCACTACTGGACCAATCAACTACATTAATATAAAGGGAGAAAAGACTGAAGTTGTCAAAGACTTCATTTTGATCAACACTCACAGAAGCAGCAGTCAAGAAATCAAATTATGTATCAGGCAACTCTGATGCAGAAGAACCTCGCAAGCAAAGATATCAGTTTCCGGTCAAATGTGCTCCTGATCCAAGCCATGCTATTTTCAACAACCTCATATGCATGTAAAAATTGGACAGTGAATAAGGAAGAATGTAGAAGAATAGATGCATTTGAAGGAGAATATTAAAAGTACCCCGGACTGCCAACATAACAAACAAATCTGTGTTGGAAGAAGTACAGCCAGAATACTCCTTGAAAGTCACCATGGCCAGACCTCGTCTCTCATAGGTTGGATATATTATCAGGAGGGACCAGTCCCTAGAGGGGACTGCTTGGTAAAGTGGAGCATCACATAAAAAGAAAGATTCCCAATGAGATGGATTGCCACAGTGGCAGCAGCAATGGTCGCAAACATATCAACAATTATGAGGTTTGCACAGGACCAGGCAGTGTTTTGTTCTGCTGTGCATAGGGTATCAACTCATAGCGACCCACTGCAGGGTTTCCTATATATATGTAGGATTAGCACTAGACCGGAAGTTACGTTTGAACCACAAGGTCGGAGGTTCAGACCCACCAACCAGTCCTCAGAAACAATTTACAGGGTTGCTATGAGTAGGTTCTTACTCACCGATACTAAACAACAGCATATATATATATGTTATATAGAAAACTTCACTGTTTTTGCTTTTCTAGAGAATTCATCCTGAAGCATGAACTACACACACACACACAAAATAAATAAATAATTTTAAATGGTTGCATCAAGAAGAAATGCCTTCATGAAGCAGAAAACTAACAGGGAGGATAACAAAAGATATTGAATAAATAAATTATGTTATAATTGCAAATCAATTTAGTCACATTAGTCTGAGCAGCAATAAGGGAATCCAGCTCATATCTCACAGAATGTTAGAAATACTCTTGGGATACACCCTATCAAAAAAGTGAGGAACAAAGAAGAGAAAAGACTAAACCAGTGTCACAGATGAGTAGAAATCTCAAAGAATACAAGCAAGGAAACTGCCTTATATAGCCCAAGCCCAAGTATTCTTTCAACTATTCCACACTGACAATTTTTCTAAATAACAAAATGAAGATTAAGTAACAAAATGGATTGTTCTAGTAAAAATCTTACTGGAGTTTTAAAATCTAATTTAAATTGATCATTTTATAATTCATGAAGGTAGTTTCTTTTTGTCACCATGTGAAATTAAATGTTTCTTTCACCAAAAATGAAGTCTTGAGTTGAGAAATTTCTATTCTATATAATATACTTTCTATTGTGTTTACAAAGATCTCTTCAACATTGAAGCTGAAAAGGATAAGATTAAAATATGGGGTTTGCTGTCTGCTGTTCATTACCATAAGCAAAGTGGCTCCCAGGGCAAGGCAAAAAAGGATGGGACCAGTGAGGTCGGTTTCATTCATAATGCTGCCATCTGCTGGCTTCAGTGGGTTTAACACTGTCAATGTTTTTTGCCAGATGTGATCAAAATTGATTCCAAGTTCTGCAAAAGGGAAAGAAAAGAGATAATATAAATAACAATTATTTTAAATTAAGTGTGATCTTATTTTGAGTTCTTGAGTGGAACAAACTATTAATACACTCACTAGCAAACTGGAAGATTGAAGGTTTCAGTCTACCCAGAGGTGCCTTGAAAGAAAATCCTGGCAATCTATTCTAAAAAATTAGTTCCTGAAAACCCTATGGACTGTATTCCTATTGTGTCCCATATAGGGTCAACATAAGCAAATCAATTTAATGGCGACTGGTAAGAAAAATGAAAAATAACTAAGATCTTCTGTTGTTGCTGTAAAGTGCCTTCAGACCAGTTCTGACTGATAGCGATCCTATATAGGTGTTTCTGAGACTTAAGTCTTTGTGGGAACAGAAAGCTTCATCTTTCTCCTGAGAACTAAAGATCAATGTAACATATAATAGCTAAAGTTTTGAACAAGTAGTTGTTTGTTCCCAAAAAGAAATTTTAAAGGTAACATTTCCATTAAGAAAAGAATTCCTTGCCTTGTGTAACAAACACAAACTTAGGACCTACTTAAAAATTTAGACATAGGTATTGCACAGTAAAATAATAAAATAAAATTTTATCTAAAAGATCCAAAGTCCTCTCTTACTGCCCATTTAAATATCCTTTCCCCATATTTTCAATCGCTTATCTTGTGAAATCTTGTCATCTCAAACTGTTTCAATTAGCAACACTATCTAAAGATACTTGGCCTGCTCTAGGGATTTACTTCCACCATAGTATGAGAAGAACAATTTTATGCTAGCTGCTTGAAACTCAACGGAGGAGGAAAGGGGACGGCTCTCTCACCGTCAATGTTATCATAATGTCCATACATGCTTTTATAAGGTCAGTGCATCAAGAGTATGTGGTTGAGTCTGTGCCATTAAAGATTATTAAGTCCCTGAGAACAGTTAACCATCCCCTTTTATGAGTGGTGGTGTTAGAATGAGTTAGCCAAAATCAAAGGGGCTCAGTGCCATGAGTCCAAACTGATAAAACGCATTTCTAATTTTATTTTATACGACTGCCTACCCAAAGGATTCTCACCTCTGCTTCACAGATCCCTCTGCTAGATTCTGCTCCATAAAGAAAACAAACAAAATCACCCATTCGAAGGGCAAAGTCGGCGGTTCAAGCTCACCAGCTGCTCCTTGGAAACCCTATACTGGATTGCTATGAGTCGGAACCAACTCGATGGCACTTCACAACAACAATAACAACACAGAAATAAGGAGCTCTGGTAGTGGAGTGGGTTACAATCTGGACTGCTAATCACAAGGTCAGCAGTTCGAATCTGCCAGTCGCTCTGCAGGAGAAAAGCAAGGTTTCGGGTTCCTGTAAAAATGTAGGGCCTCAGAAACTGTATACATGGTCACTATGAGTCAGATCCGCCTCTACCACACACAGCAGCAACAGCAACACAGAAATGGGAGGAAATGATGGTTCCGTGATAGAACCCTGCTGGTGCAGTGACTAAAGTGCTCGACTGCTAACCCAAAGTTTGGCTATTTAAACCCACCAGCCGCTCCGTGGGAAAAAGAAGTGACAGTCAGTTTCCATAACAGAGTTATAGCTTTGGAAACCCTATGGGACAGTTCTGCTCTGTCCTATAGGGCCATTATGAGTCAGAATTGTCTTGGCAGCAGTGAGTTTGAGTTTGGTATTGAGCTCAGAGGTGGAATCCTCACCTTCCGTGTGGGAAAGTAGGGTGAGGTTCCTGGCCAATAAACCTCAACTGCAGCCCCCACACATCTGTCAGTGGAAGCTTTACATTGCTAACACATTTCAGCTGAGCTTCCAGATAAAGCTAGATTAGGAAGAAAGGTCAAGAAATCCATTTCCAAAATAAGGGACCAACTCTAAAGTATAGGTTTCAACATCTGACAGTCTTATTCCAGAACCTAATCCTTTAACCACCATAACACTGTGCTTCAAAGCCAGAAGAAAATAAATTTCCAGAGGAATCATTTGAAAAGTTACATGTAATTATGGTTTAGTCAATGTGCATCTAATCACATATTGTTTTGATTTTTTTTTCTCTAATTGAATCTAATACTTCCATACGAAGGACTGTTTTTCTGCAATTATTTTGTAGGTAGCATTCAGATTTACGTTCTCAGCTTTCAGTTCTCCTTGGTCAGATACAAAGTACAGCAGAACATCTTTTATAGTGGTATATACCACATTCATATCCTGCAAAGCTGAAATTCTATATGCAGGATGCATTATGGGATTTTAATAATCCTCAAAATGCAGAGAAGATTTGCTCTAGGACAGACCCAGAAATTTTCAGAGGGTTACTCAACATTGGTCTGATCTGAAAGAGAAAAGGCATTTTGCAGTATTTCATGCACAAATTTACATCCACTTTCCCAAGCTTGAAAGGAAAGAACTTGACTCATTAACAGTGAACAAATAAATTTCAAGTTTCATATTTCATCCTGTATTCTCAAAGTGTACACATTTTTAATGACTGTACACTTTGGAGATTATGAGCAATTTACCAAGTTTATGATAAGGTTAAAATGTCTAATGCAGATTATTTTAAATATTAAGTTCTCTGTATGTTAAGTTGGAGTCCTAGTGTGGCGCTGTGTGTTAATGCGCTGGACTGCAAAATTGGTTTGAACTGCAAGGTCAGTGGTTCAAGCTCACCAGCAGCTCCTCAGAAACCCTATACAGAGTCTCTATGGGTTGAAACTGACCCAATGGCACTTAACAACAATAACATATGTTAAGCTAATTTTGCCAGTGGCTTATGTTGCATTCTAACTTTGCATTCAGTTTTGATAATTATACTAACAGTATGCTTCCTGTTTTTGCCACAATAAAGTAGTCTTTGATTTAAGACACTTTTTCCTCAAAAAAAAATATATAATTATTCTTCAAGTAACTCCAATGGAAAGCTTTTTATGGAACATTATTACTGATTTCTACCATTTATTTGCTAGCATAATGTTCCTGTATTGATTCATGAAACAGTGAATGAGCACACCAAAAATAAAAATCCAGCTCACTTCCATCTATCAACTGTGATTCATAGTGACCCTCTTGTTATTGTTAAGTCTGTCAAGTCAGTTTTGACTCATAGTGACCAAGGTTTGAACTACTGACCTTGTAGTTAGCAGTCCAGTGCCGATCCTACAGAACCACACCAGGAGAAAGACCACCTAATATGAATTTGTCTCTGAACAAATTTGAACAAAGTTTGAACCAGCAAACTTGTGGTTAGCAGTCCAATGGTTACCTTACAGTACCACACCAGGATCCCTATTAGAGAGAATAACTTGCCCCATAGGATTTCCAAGGCTGTAATCTTTAGGAAGCAGACTGCCACATCTTTCTTTCTATCAGAGACACTGGTAAATTTCAGCCATATAATCACTACACCACCAGGGATCCTTTGAATGAACATAGTAGTGGTTGTTACGTGCCATAGAGTTGGTTCCCACTCATAGCAAACCTGCATAGGGTTTCTGAGGCTGTAAATCTTTATGGGAGCAGAAAGTCTCATCTTTCTCCCGTGGAATAGCTGGTAGTTTCGAACTGCCGATCTTGAGGTTAGCAGTTCGATTTGTAACACAAGATATACTAAATATTTTTATGAGGAGAAAATTGTGTGTGTTTACTACAGAAATACATTTCCACAATATTTTATTTTACCTTATTGTTATAACGGAGCCCTAGTAGTATTGTACAATCAGCACTAGACTGCTAACCTGAAGTTCAACACTACCAGCTTCTTCCTGGGAGAAAGATGAGATTTTCTGCTCATAAAGATTTACATCCTCAAACACAGCTATGAATCATAGTCAAGTTGATGGTGTTTGGCTTGTTTTTTTTTTTTTTTTTTTTGGTTTGGTTACTATGATAAAATATGTAAAAGAGATTATAAGCATTTATTAATTTTAGTCTTCAGAAATGCAATATAGTGCTGCTATGAGTCGGAACCGAGTCAACAGCACTTATTAACAACAACAATGCAAAATCTTATTACACAAAATAATAGAAGAAACTTCTGTGATTATGAATGTATTGCTTTGCTGTCATCTAGTGGTAGTAAAGTGTATATATGATATATACTCATTGCAGGTGAATCAATTCCAACTCATAGTGACCCTGTAGGACCAAGTGGAACTTTTATAGCATGTGCCATCATACTATAAAAGTGAATCTTGATTTCCTTTGAAAGTGTGGTATTGACCTTTCAATATGAATGTGATATTATGCCACAAATGCAAAATATAAAATATTACAGTAATTTTTTTTTGTTCTGACAGTCTTGAATTGATGATTCTTCTTCAAGATGCATTTGGTAACATATGTATCATACATTATTAAATAGCAAACGTTATTATCAATGTTTTAGAATATAAGACATGTAAGAAATAAGCACATTTTCAAATAGCATACTTTTGTTCAAGGAATGTTGGTAACAGTTATAATTTTATAGGCTATTTCTCAATCTCTCAATAAAATCCAGCAAATGTCACTTGCCAACTCATCTTAAAATTATGTCTATGGTTATAAGATAGATAAGACTTCAGGCCTTGACAAAGACACCCAAGGATAAGTATATGTTGGAGAAGTGTATACAGTTCATGGATTCAAAAGATAAATGCATATTGTTGTTGTTGTTATGCGCCATCAAGTCAGTACCAACTCATAGCAACCTTACACACAGCAGAACAAATTACTGCCTGATCCTGGGTCAACCTCACTACTGTTGCCACGCTTGAGTCCATTGATGCTGCTGCCACTTGGCCAATCCATCTCGATGGGGGTCTTCCTCTTTTTCTCTGACCCTACAACTTACCAAACATGATATCCTTCTCCAGTGA